CCCTTAGAGACAGGGTGAGAAGCTCGATCATCCGGGAGGGACTCGGAGTAGAGCCGCTGCTTCTCCACATCGAGAGGAGCCAGTTGAGGTGGCTTGGGCATCTGTTTAGGATGCCTTGTGGACGCCTCCCTGGTGAGGTGTTCCGGACACGTCCCACCGGAAGGAGGCCCAGAGGAAGACCCAGGACACGCTGGAGGGACTACGTTTCTCGGCTGGCCTGGGAACGCCTCGGGATTCCCCTGGAAGAGCTGGCCCAAGTGGCTGGGGAGAGGGAAGTCTGGGCCTCCCTACTTAGGCTGCTACCCCCGCGACCCGACCCCGGATAAGCGGAAGAAAATGGATGGATGGATGGATGGACATCTCAGTTTCTCTGATACTCCCTCAACATACGGAATGACCACTGGTCTGGGTTCCTCCTTTCACCTGATGGCTGACTGGAGTCCTGTTTGGGTTTCTTCTCTGCTTTCATGAAGGCCCAGTTAGGATATCCACATTGCTCTGGAGCCTGTCTTGTGTAGGATTTCTCCTTCTGCCTGGCTCCTGAGTTAGTGGGGATGCTGTCTGCTCTGTCATACAGAGTCCTCATGACTCCTAACTTGTGCTCCAACGGGTGATGGGAGTCAAACTGCAAATACTGGTCTGTGTGGGTGGGTTTGCGGTACACCTCGGTTTGCAAATGTCCTCTATCAGAGACAGACCTCACAGTCCAAGAAAGCCAACTTGCCATTTTTTACATCTTCTCGTGTGAACTTGATGTATTTATATCCTGATGCATGCTCAATAATCCAGGTAGAAAAATCCAAAAAAGTTCAATCTGGTCCTCTGGACATTCAAAAAAAACAAAAAACAAAGCAAAAAAATATATAGAAACGTTTCGTCTCTCATCCAAGAGAGTGTGAGCATGTGATCAGCTGGTTTTGGTTGTCGGCAGCAAACTGGTTGATCCACTCTGAGAAGGTGCTATTTAAGAGACTGAGCGGAATACAGTACCTCAGACTGAGGAAGTCTCTTGGATGAGAGACGAAACGTTTCTACATTTTTTTTTTTTGCTTTGTTTTTTTTTTTTTTTTGAATGTCCAGAGGACCAGATTTAACTTTTTTGGATTTTTCTACCTGGATTATTGAGCATGCTTCAGGATATTTAAAGATTGATAGTAACAGATAAATCTTAGCTTATAGTTAGCTTCTGAGTTTAGCTAGCTACGTAGATAAAATAAATTTACACACTATCATCTTAAAGTTAGCGTTATTTCACCGCTATGTACGTGTTAAGCTGCAGTAACGTTAACGAACGTAAACTTACCAGCTGAAACACAGACACAGAGCCGTCCTCGGGAGTTCTTTGATGAAGACGAGTCCGGACGTGGAATGTTGATTGAGTGAGTCTGTTTAACACACACAGACAGACTAAAGCTGAGAGGAGGGT